AATCGTTACGCGGGCCGTAATTGGCCCAGGTTTGGGAACCTCTGTACTAGCGGGACGCATGTGTGTTAGGCCTGGATTTAACCATCTTAATGTGAGTGTAGCCTAAACACACGTTGCCACGAGAGTAGGACTCGTTAGGCTTTTTCACTGTATCGAACTGCTATACTGCTGTTCGTTCCTCTGTCCGTTGTGTACCGCCACAGCAAGGTTCCCAAAACGTACAGACGACATACTGAACCATGTTCTCGTTTAATTAAAAAGAATAATAAACTAATTATCGAATTTGTACTTGTGTACGGTACCTTTTCATCTCTTCTTTTTAATTTTACGAAAATTGAGGTCGCGGAAGAAAGTTTGGGAACCACTGTGCTAGACCATTTCATTTATATGGAATTTCGGTCGGGAATTTCAGGCCTAAGTATGGAAAGGGCTGAAATACGGTGACATTTGGAAGTTAAACCGGTATATTTCCTGTATGGACGCATAAGAAAAATCATTAATAAAGATGGTTCTGATTGCCAAGAGATCAAAACAACGTTCAGCCTCAATTGAAGTAAGCTTGATAGTTCAGCTTTTTACCATGCCCAAAATATTTTCACTTATGATTCCCTTCGCGGGTAGCCAAGCGACCGTCGATATCGAGAATATCCGGCCGATGGAAAATTTTCATACACGGAAAGCGGAACACTGATGATTTCGAGGCTTAACTTGAGAAGCCTAGTAAGAAGTTTCTTTACGACAGGGGTTCTCAAACTTTTTTTGCTGCCGTGCACTAAAAAAAAAGCGATTTTAGCAAAATGAGGTGATTTATTTTGTAAGAAAATCGGCAATTGATCTCGGGGGATTGGGTGGGTTTCTCCAGTTGGGATGGAGATTCTTCAGTTGATCCCGTTTCCCAACTGAAGAATTATACCAGTTGATTCATCCTTTATTTGACCTGCTGAGTACCAGTGGACTAATTATTTGGTAGGCTTAGATGGTTCTTAGTTGATGTGGAGATTTTACAGACTACCCTGGAAGGGGGATTATTCAGTTTATCCCATTAATGTCTCAATTAAAATCGTACCTGATACCGACAGCAATGAAGCGCAACATTCAAAATTTTGCCAGTCGATGGAACACTGATCATCTGGTTCAAGCATGCAACCGTTTTTGATTTTATTTGTCAACCTATTTATTACTTTCTTCACACGAGGTATTGCCTATATATGTGTTTATTTGACATATTTTCACACACAGCATACAAACCCCTCCCCCCTGCCCGCAGTGCGGGTTATACCAGACATGGGCAAATTACTGCTCGTGGGCCAAATCCGATGCATTGAATTTTCGCAAACTCATTGCGGGCCGCAATGTCAAATATATATATATATATATACCAGTTCTGATTTACGTTAGAATTTGCGCGACGCTGAATCAAGCTTGAATTGCACAAAGCTATTGCGAATATCTGAACACAATATGCACGCATTTTTACGCAGTCAAATTTGTGAGAGACATCGGGTGTTAAGTTTAGTTTATATAATTTTGAAAAATCCTGCGAGGGTCACTCATGTGGCCCGCGGGCCACGGATTGGACGACCCCGATGTGGAGTGTAGACCACGGGTGTGCAACCTGCGGCCCACAAGGAACACTTGTGCGGCCCGCGGAGAAGCGCCACTTTTGAATGGCGTGCAGCCCACGAAACCCTGGCAACGCGAACAACGCATATCAAAAGATCAAAAACCAATTGTTTTGTGTCTGCTACTGCTAAAAAGCCAGTGTTAGGAAAAGGTGCGGCTCGCGGTTTAATCCAGCTATTCGTATCTGGCCCTGTATTGAAGGTTGCACACCCTTGGAGTAGACCATAAATTATGCCAAGTGTTTTTCCAAGTTCTGTATATATATGTTGTGTATTACCTTCCGATCGTATGGGCATCCCCATATTTCTGTATGGTTTCAATAGTTTCTGGCATTTCATTGGTTGTATGTAACTCTGCTCAGAGATATGGGACGCGTCAATTTTGCTTTTATTCGAGCTGCGTGGAACTTTGCTTTGATTAAAGTTCTTGTAAAACGCATTATTGTTTATGTATTAGATTGTAATAATAAACTCATCCGTATAGTTTATTTCAGTAACTAATTGACAATGACACTAGCTACTGGCCATGGTGTGGACCTCATTTAGTCATTTTGCTACATTGTTGTTGTATGTATTGTTGGCGTCTTTGTTTTTGTTGTGAATAAGTCACATATCTACTCCACTAATAGACCAGCGAAAGTTGCATTTATGTGTATAAATTTGCTAAAATCTTGTTTTTGTTGCTTCTGTTATTGTTGTTAGTGTGATTGTTCCTGTTGGAAATAGAATAACGCTCAGCAAAGTAGGTTCTATGAAACCTCACCGTACCGACCCGATGCGCGACAGTTTTCATAATACTTTTAATTAGATATTAAAATAATTTTCCAAGATATTATAGATAAGCCACACCCAATTTTTTCAAATTATATTTAAATTTTAGCTGAACAAACAGTCCAGCTAATATCTCCAGGATAGATTAGGCCTGTATTCCCCTTTCAAACGAATACCCGGCTTGAAATTCTCTGAAGATAATCAGTCTATTCTTGAAAATCATACAGTATCATAAATGTTCATTGTCATATTGAACAACAACGCAATCCTACCCCTAAATGAGCTTATAATAACCGTTAATGAATACTTTTCCAAATTGATTTAAAATAATTCATGTGACAATGAAAATGAATTATTTCACTAAAATTTCCTTTTACTCATTTGATTATATAGGAAAATAACCTAAATAAACATCTTAAAAAATATCACGATAACTCAGTCTAGTGCAGTGATTCCCAAAGTGGGCGATATCCCCCCCGGTGGGCGAAAATGATACAGAGGGGGCGAAAAAGTCGAAGGGGGCGATTTCACAAAACCTGTTTTTGTTCGTCGCATCGTGTACTTAATTCTGTACTCTGTGTGCATTCGCAGGCTTGAATCACGTGGGCGATTATCACACGCAAAAAGATTGCTGGACTTGTCTTCGCAGTAAGGTACGGTAGTTTGCGAATCCCAGTGGTCGGCAAAATACGGTCGGAGTAAAATAATCTGGCCCGGGACACTTCACTGAGTGAACCTTTCCCCGACCTTTGACCCCGGAAAATTCTCCCTATATAATTTACCATTTCAAAATTTTCGGTGCTTAATTTTGGAGTAGTTTCGCGAGTTGTCGCCTGTAAAATGGGGTATTTGTTTCAAACAATCATTCTAATTCATACCATTCAACAATCTGTTTTTTAGAAGTACCGATAAATTTTTTAGCCCTAGTCTATCACAGCTATTTCTACACTAATTTTTGATTGCTGTATTTAAACTGAAACTTATAGGAAGACAAAGTAATCATTGACTTATTTGATTGATATTTAAATTTCCGAAAAAACAACTAAAAACTAACGAATATAAATCAAAAACGCGAAAATGAGGTAATGTTCACGACCACGCCTGAAAATCTGTCTCAGTGAGTGTGTCTGAGCGAGCGGATGCGATAGGGGGCATTGTTACGTTAATTTTTGCATCTTGCTGATTGGCCAATGTCACAAAGTAAACAAGGAAGTCTATGCCCGGGGAAAACATCCAAACGGCGGTTATGATGATGAAATAATTTTATTTATAATCTACGCTCGAGGAGTAAATTACATTTTTTTACGTAACAGAATTTATCGTGAGACACGTTTAGACTAAATTTCATTATATCCTAAAAATTTTATTAAACAGCTACTCGTTTAACAAGCTTACAATTTAATTATAATTAGACAAATTAAAACACGAAGAAAAGAGGGCAGGGTTCAATAGCGCAGTAAATAATCTTGCATATTTTTTTCTATATTGATTTATAATATTTCATGTGACGATGAAATTGATTTATTTCACTAAAATGTTCATTACTCATTTCATTATCATGAAAAATAACCTAAATAAACATCTTAAAAAATATCACGATAACTTTAATGCATCGCAACTAACCTCTTAATTATGCAGTCAATGGGATGTGGCGAACATTGCATGACTATTTCTCAGCGAAGCTTCCTTCAGTGAAATACCTTACCGAAGTTGTGTGGAACGTTTTTTTTTTAAATCCCCCCGCTTTCGTAGTCGTTTTCCGAGTCTCTGGTATGAGCAGCTGGTTTTAGAAGAAAAGTGCATTTGCTAGTTCAATAAATTGTTTCAATATTGTATTCCAATACAATAATATGATGAGTGTGGCTCTGATATTCCAGCATAGTGGACTACCAGACCTCACCCAATAAATACAGTAGCACACCCACAGAAAAACGACAACAGTATTGCAGCGAAACTCTGAAGTAAAATATAAAAAAAATTAGTGGGCAGCTATTGTTACTCGAGTTGCATCAGGCTTAATCATACAGTACAATGTTTCATGCGACAATTAGATAGAAATTCACACGCATATGCACACACATATACCATAGAGATGAAATAAAAAGGCGTTTTATTTTCAGGCTAATTCGTCTTGAAGTACAAAAGCCCTAGACAGGCTAAACACTCGGAAAGTCCCTATAGGGGGGAATACGAATTGGAATGCCAATTTCTGAATCTCTTTAATGTGATTTTTAATCGACCGAAAGATTTCATCATACTTTCTGACTGCCGAATATGAGTGCTAATTAACAGATAAGCTGCCATTGTTTCCACAGTAAACACTCAGTAAACGTATTAAAAACGCTTCCTCAACTTTATAATACAAATGGTTCCTGTTTCGAATATATTTCACTGTTAGCAAAATATTTACTGTGATCAGATATTTTCGTTGAGTCTAAAATTTCGTACTGTAACAAATAGTGCGTCCACACATTTGCAATCGTTTGAGAAGGCATTTTGTTGGCAGTTGTACAGCAGGCTGCCAAAGCTCAGCGCGGTGATAAAAAAAATTAACGAAAAATATATTTTGGATATTTTTAACAGCCTTATCGCTGCCATCACTCCAATGAATTGTTGAGCGAGCGTCATTCTTTTCTCGTAGACAGTCGAACAATATGCTGTTCAACAACGATGTCTGCGATTTGGATGAAGTTAAAGACAAACTTTACAAGAGTTCAATGTTCGGATGGTCCTGGTCGAGGGAAAGAAGGGAACCTTACCGACACACAGCTATCGTGCTACGTTTCAATAAAATTCCATGTTTCACAATAAATTTCCGTCCGAGAAAAGGATCTGGAAAATTTGAAGCGGCTTTCAGCGAATGTGGGTCAGCGATAACAATTGAACGCATCAACAACCCACTGAACAACAACGTTGAATATTTTGCACCTTTTAAAGAGTTTGAAATTCAGTCAGAACATTTAAAGACACAAGCATTTGGAATTATAAAGCTGATACTTTCGTATGATCCCGGAAAATATAATTTAGTAACAAATAACTGCCGACACCATGTCGATGGCGTTAAGAAATACGTTGCAAGCCATGTGGACGAGCTGAAGGACAACGACTATAACAATGCTATGGTCAGCACCAAAAACGGCGATGTAAATCGTTTTATGGGTGCTGCTTTTACTGCGTTTGCCGCTGTTGGAGGTGTGGTAGTGGCGGCAGCTGCAATAACTTCAGCTATTTTTGGTAGTAAAGAAGAAGAAGATGAAGAAAATCAAAAAGTAAAAGCATAGCAGTTTCCCACGTTTCTATTTGTTTATTTATTTATTTCAAATGTACGTAAATATATGTATATATTGAAATTTACATCCATATCATGCTTATTTTAAAATCTGGTATCATATTTGTACATATTTTCATAACATCATCGAGAATATAGGATATAAATAGTGTTTTTAAATATCTATGCAGCTTAATTTGATGAAATTGGCTGACTCATGTGAAAAATTGGTGTCATCACCAACATTGACCATTATATATATAAAGAACTTATTTAAACAAACGCGACTACACACTACACTAGACTACACTCTACATAGTCGAACTAACCAACTATTCGAGTAACCACCTTATTAAGCCAACAAAATCAGTAGATGAAATTTGTCCGTGATTGAATTGAATATACTGTAATCAGTGAAGGAATTTAGAAATACTTGTGTTTTGAGGGCGGAGTATCGTGTAGGTTTATACAGAAAGAGTATGCGACGGTTCGATAACAAATGGTCAACACTTCGTGAACCAACAACAATGGTTTATACTGAGACGAACCAGTGGTGATTTCTGTAGAACTATAAGCACGCTGTAGTAGTATTTAAACATCTTAGCTATGGGTATATAATAGTATGCACATATAAACACAGTGTACGTGAACAAATTGAATCATGTGTAGGCACTGAGGGTATGCACTGCTTGCTAAACCGCCAAGTATGCTTGAAACCTTCGGGAGACATGCGAAACCGTTTATGAATATTTGTTGTACACACAATGTATTCATATATGCGAATAGTGCCGTGTAATTTATTAACCAGACCATGTATGTATGAGACTTACATTTGGAGCGATAGTTTATTTTGAACCCTGCACTTCTACAACGTCGAGACCAACGATACAAACCACGGGTTTCTTTGTTATAGATAGAGGCCTGATATAATTTATCTAAAAGAAATTATTGAATTGAACTCATTACATGCATGTATTTTACTTATGTATGTGTATATATTTGACATATATCTACAGATATTTTGGAGATTTATATATGACGTACCGTATTCTCATTTTTCAGAGACGTTTGTATCAGCATCGGTACTTTCCCATTCGATGTTGTTCCAGCCGTCTGTATTCCGTGTGAACAAAACTCGCCTTCACATTGACATAGAGAAAACTTGTATGAGCGAATCGTTCTCGATAGTTGTTAGTTAGTTAGTTCAATGGGCCCTTTGCGAGGGAGGAAGTTAAATTGCATATTACTCAAACATTACGTGTTAGATATCCTCTCAAGAACAAACGTTTGAGATAACTTTTGCTCAGTTTATTCGTAATAGTGTATGGCGCTGAAAACAAACTAAAATAAAGAGAACCATCCGACTTAAAAATTATTCGTGACTATTTTTTCGTTCTTAGTGTGTATATTGAAATCAAATCATTCGCAACCTCACATGCTCTGACGTTGTATGCGTGGCATAGAGAATTTATCAAGTGACCTCATACAATTTACAGTATGACAATAAATAGCCTAAAGTAGTGTATCAGAACAATATTGAATTCGTATGACAATGGATCTGTTCAAGTATTACACCGATCATAAATGTACGAGAGACGAAATTTGGCAGCGACTCAATACAAGCGGAAAATTCGGCTGGTCTTGGTGTAAGGAAAAAACGGAACCATTTCGCCACACCGCCATTGTTCTTTATTTTGACAAAGTTCCTCGTTTCACTATAAATGTGCGAGCAGTTGACGGGACAAGCAAGCCTGCTGCAGCGTTTAGCGAGTGTGAATCGGAGATTACCATAGAAAAAATTACCCCCGGAGATAAAAATATGACATATTTTGACCCCTTCGATGAATTTTCCGTGTTGGGTGTGAATGGAAAGCAACGAGCGATCAACACTATTAATTCTATCTTGTCGTGTCGCACTGGAAGATACAACCTTTTTTTCAACAACTGTCGAGATCATGTGAAGTATGTTGTTGAACAAATTGCGGGTAAAAAGCTTCATGATAGCGATTTTGAAAGTCAGATGTCTGATGTGCGCAACGAAGACACCGCACGATCTTTACTTGCTGGTGTTATCGGAGTAGTTGCTGTTGGTGTAGGTGCTGCTTTTATTGGTGGTATTGTTAAACTAATGGAAACTGAAGAGAACGAAGAAGAAGAGAAAGTCAGCGCATAAACAATCTATGGAATCTTTACATTATTAGTCCTGGAAAATTAATGAGATCAGAAATATGTGCAAAGTTTATTTATTATACAGTTGAATGCTTTTAGTCGTGTAAAATATATATATTTTGAAACGCAGTTAATTTGTGAAGTAGTTGAATTAAAAAAGTATAGGTAGTTATATATATACATCTGAATCAGGCTGCCCAACCGCGGGGCGCATGCGGCCCGTCGAAGTTTTTTTTTTGCGGCCGCCCTATAAAGTTTGTAAGCAGACTTTTTAAATTTTACTATACATAGGTATTTTTCGTGATTTTGGTGTAAATATTAGTGTTTGTTTGCAAATTAATTTCATTCTGATTTCTTTTTTTCGTGTCGGCTTTGATCGTCTTTATCACCGACGTAAAATAAAAAGTCAACAATATCTTGGGTACTGGTCCCCGGACTCGTTGTCGTTTTATGTTTGTACTTTTGTTCATGTTATGTTCGCGTTAAATAAGATGTTGGAAATGTCGTCACTGCGTATTCGTCAATAATTCTGATGAAATTGACGTACTGGCATTGCTACTAATTAGTCACAAATCAGTATATATCGACTATTCGTTCAGAAATCTTCGTTATGCTACTTCATTAAATACTTGTATTGGTGTTTCAAATTTTACGAAACGGCCACTAAAACTTGATATTGCCGCGACATTGACGCACATTATGCTCATTTAAACATTAAAGCAGTATCGTAGCTACCTAAAATAAATGAATAAAAACACTATAACGCAAATATAACACTCAACTTTGACGTGATGTGTGTGTTTCCTGCGTGATCGCCAAAAAACCCCAAGTGTGTTGTGTAATGATTGATTCATTGATTCGGTCGCCCGATAGTGTTATGTCCACGCCCCGTTTACCATATATTCAAATAGTAAACCGCTATTTTAAATTCGGATAATTTGCCAATCCTACCCAGTAACCAGAAAGCAATTATTAACTTGATTGATTTCATGTTAATAAACTCGCCTTTTATGTATTATGTAATTACTTACACCAAAATCAGGACTTATATGGTATTAATGTGTGGTACAAACGTTTGCGGCCCGCGACCGGTTTCGTCACGTGAAAGTGGCCCGCGAGACGAAAAAGGTTGGACAGGCCTGCCCTACATGATCTGATCCCAATATCAGATACCTAGTGAAGTACTCTGATACGTTTTTCAGCGTACCATGTGTGTATATAGAGAGGCACGGCTAAAAATGTTGATGGGATCAATTCAGATGATTAGCAAGGCCAACCAAAATTTTTTAGCTTCACTGAACATTTCAATTTCCCCTAGTAGATTCTTAAGGAATTTTCAGGTGTGCGTCAAACAATTAACTGCTTAATTCATTTATCGCATGGAATAAAACATTAGTTTTGAGAAAAATAACGATACAAATCAAGCTAAGTTAATTGTTATCTGGTGGATTGTCAACTATAGGGCCTATGTCAAAACAGGGCTAATGTTGAGGGTCAGCACTTCAACGATAGTGTACGGCTGGTACAGTGACTTGTTCTAACCTTGCCAAAAAAAAACTCAAAATTTCCGAGTGTTTTTGGTGGCTTAACATTATGTATATACATGGAACTCCAGTCAGTCATTCAAGAAATGCACATACACACCTAATCGATTTATTATATATTCTGACCTTGTATGCAGTATTACAGGGTTTCATTTTGTTCAATTGGTGATCATCGAGGAGGGTTGATATATTTGCACATTGTACTTGCAATTCAAGGGACATCAAAAGGTTATTTTGTACAGTTTAACACAGAGCTCGTCAGTCATTCTGAAATTGGTACACTTTTTTACCCTTCACTCATAGTCTGGTTTTATTTTAGGAAGGGGAGGGGGGAGGTTCAATTTTAGGAGGTGGTAGATATTTTGCTATTAGTGATGAAACTATTATTTGTAACTTATGGAAATGTATCCGACTGATCACCTTCACCTGCATATGAGAATATTTAAATCCATCTTTATTTACGTTAAGAATCGAAGTATGATGTCACAACGTAAAATTGGGGGGGGGGGGGGGTCACGGCCTACTGCACATACCCGACATGGTTTCACATATTATTTAGTCGAGTCAGTCTTGGATAACCTAAAGCTGTTATTTAGTTATACATGCAGCCGTTCAGTGGTGCATTATTATTTAATCAATATTACAGCCATTCTATGATGTCATAATGTCTCATACCAGATGACAGCTCAATTCATGAGGAAGTTCCCCGCGAACGAACGCATCCCAACATTTTGGTATTGTTACAGTGCATATATAACTAACATCATAATCCCTAGATATCTCTCTGAAAAGCACATATTCTAAAAAATCAAACATCCCAGTTTGGCGAAATAGCCTTGATAAATAGCCTTTCATCTAAATGTCATTTTAGGATTTTAAAATATGCCGATTAATCTATTATTCTTTTTATCAATTGACATGAAGTCAGAAGCACAAAAATTAATCGTTCATATTCATTATAAAAGTATTAGTATTCGTACCGCATGGGCAAATATTTACCAGCTCAAGCTTTTAAGACACCTAGTCGAGTCAGCAACGTTTGAGTGACCTCTGACCCGGAAATTAACATTTTATGCGATAAAAACGGGACTGCGGCACTTCAGTTCAGGTTATAAATTTGTCACTGGGGTATATATAAACCTACCTATGGATATATAATGGACGTGTCGGTATTGTCCAAATCCGAAGTGAGCGTGTTTCTTGATTCTTTATTTGCGTCTAGCTCAGACTTTGAGAAATGTGCTCACTAAATCTTTGAAAACGGAAAAAAGTATTTTCCCAACTTCTGTTTCGTAAATAACATTCAACTATTTGAATTTTCTTCAAATGTTGCAATCTACAGCGATCACTATACAGCATGGGTCAGCAAACTGCGGCCCGAGAACTAATTTTTGAGGCCCTCGAACGCCCCGACTTTAAATGCATAAGCATAATACATAAATTGATTATAAATTTATTGTTGTCTCCACATAGATTCGTGCGGTAACGAATGCAGCAGTACGGCTCTTTTTTGCGGCGTCAGTTCTGAGTTGTATATCGTTCACTTGATGTTGGTTGTAATTTAAAAAAAAGTTTATTTTGATTTTCAAAATATAAAAATGGGAATTTCGCGTTGAGGGTCGAACACTCCGAAGTGCTTGGACGGAAAATTTTTTGCCTTCTTGCGCATTTCAAAACCGGTTTGCGTGCCAAGTCAGCATCGCAGTTTTTAAAGGATCCAATG